GCAGACCCCCACTGAGCAGGGAGCCCGATGTGGGACTCGATCCCGGGACTCCAGGATCATGACCTGAGCCGAAGGCAGTCGCTCAACCGAGCCACCCAGGCGCCCTGCACCAAAACTTTTTAGACGGCAATTTTATGAACTGGTTAAGCACCAAGCATGTTTACCAACAGGCCCAAATATTCTTAGTTTCTTTGCAATAAGAAGTCAAAAGCACAAACCTATGTCCAGTAATCAATGCTTTAGCACCCTATCCTTGTAAAAGACCTATATTTCCAATGAATTCAATCCCATTTATCATCCAAGCAAAACTTTCAGGTTTCAGGTTACCAAAGACTTTGGAAGCTGTCTTAACAATTACCCATGAAAACTTTGAGACAATTAACCATCATTTAAGTCATATTTTTGCTAACAAATTGCAACAGACATAACACGAGCCTATTTGACCTTCAGCAAATCTCGACAGAATAAAAATTTCACATTTAATGTTGATACCTTTAAAGACATGTTTATCGGGCACCTGGGTGGTTCAGTTGGTTAAGTGACAGCCTTTGGCTCAGGTCCTGATGGAGTGCTCAGCAGGGAGTCTGCTTCTCCCTCTGACCCTCCCCCTCTCGTGCTCTTTCTCTCTCTCCCAAATAAATAAATAAAATCTTTAAAAAAAATAAAGACATGTTTATCTTCATTAAACCAACAAACTTAAATTAGTTTAAATACCGAATTATGTTTCACCTGGATCTGCTTTTAAAAGTCTGTTGTTCCCCATTGTCAATGTTTACCTGGGACACTGGTGTTAAGTCCAGGGGGTGCTCTTCTTGGCTCCTTGATGGAGAGGGGAGGAGGAAGATCCATGGTGCTGGAGGCACCGAGGATGGTCTAGAATCTGGTTATGCAGACTGAACCCAAGGAGGTGCAGAAACGGGAGGAGAGAGGGGGAAACAGAAGAGGCAAAGTGGCGCCGGAAGGCAGAGAAAGGGTTCCTGGTTCTAGAGCTCATCAGCTCCACAGAGGAGCAGACATCATGGTTTCCCACCAACAAAAGGAAATAGGCAGTCCATGTTAGGCCAAAGAAGACAGGGAATTTCCATGAAACAAAGGGAGTTTCAGCAGCTCCTGGGAATATTCCTTAAAGTCATCGTCCTAAGGTAGACTAAGCAGGGACAATTTTGATTCCAGTTATAGCCATTAACCCAGGAAATGAATGAGGGAGAAGCCCCCACATACCACTGGATCTATTAGGAGGAATAATGAAAGAGAGAGAAACTCAGAGTCCCCTTTGCTAGGGAGGGCCTGTGTTTCCTCCAGCAACCTGGGTTTATTCGCAGGAGGCCTATTTAGGTAATTATCATCCAGTATGTCAGGAGGGAGTTTACTAGCTGACACATTCAGGCAAACACATTCTGCAAGAGGCCCTTAGGTCCGGGTATAGAGCAATGAAGGCCTACGTATGAGCAATAATGAAGGTACCCTAGGTCCGTTTGCCCTGTTTCCTGCAGAAGAGATCTGATAGATCTTACTGAGGTCATGCAGTACCTTGGTTAAATTTTGCAATCCGAATTATTTCCAGTGGGATAAAAGGCATCCCAAGGGAGAGTCCTTGGGGATTGAATAGAGAACGTCCATTATCAAGAAAACCAGCCCCCCCACCTCCACTACTGGGTGGTGTCCCACGTGCAGGATATGTCAGATGTTCCTGGTGTCATAGCGACCTGAGGTATCCCTCGAATGAAATCGCTATGATCACCACCTGCCGTAAATGCCCTGTAGGAGAGAAGCCGGCCCTCCCCTCGCTTCCCCATCGCATTCTTGTCTATGATGGGTGCCAGGGTATGGACCAAGTTTGCCTTGCTGTGAAGGCCACGTGCGCCTTGGCTTGCCCTGCTGAGGGCCCTGCTGTGAAGGCCATGTGCACCTTGGGTTGCCTTGTTGTGAAGGTGACTTAGAATCCACCGTTTTTAACCCATGGAATACACTAGAGAAGTTTTACAAGAGGAAAGTACCCAATTTTGTAACTTAAGTAGTTAGTAGAAGACATTGATGGGAAGATAGAAATCCACATGATCTAAGCAACATTCCAACCCGTGTAGTCCTCATAGCCAACGTCCCTAGGAAACTGGTCCCCCATTGGGTTTTAATTCAGTCGGGTACTGTTTTCAGCCAGCTCCAAACTGAGATCTCCAGCCAGAAGTGGCTAGACCAGGGATGTAAAGGGGATCACATTAGACCAATGAGGCGGAAACCTCACGCGGGAATCTTAAGATTGGCAGTCGTCCTGGTGACTTAGGTGGCTGTCCCGTGCCCAAGACAGACGACTTTGCATAAGGACAAGAATAAAGAGAGGGCACCAAGTTTCTGGGTCTTATTACCATCCCGGCCAGGGTACTAACTTCTAGCCAAAAGGCAGTCTTCTTCTCCCCATAGAGCAGCCACGGGCTAGAGGATTGCAGTCTGAGCAATGGGCATGAAAATGTTCCAATAAGACCGTACTCCTTGAAGGGCCCCTGAAATGAGAGTAAAGGACAAGAAGAGAAAGTACTCCCCAAGTTTGCACCAAAGCTCAGAGTTTAGATGAAAAGACTCAAAGGCCCCATGTTGGGCTCAAAATGATGTGGTTTTGGAGTAGTGTTGTTGGGGTCCAGAACTGATGGCCAAGAAAGAATTCTTTGGTGCAAAAAGGTGGTTTTATTAAAGCATGGGGACAGGACCCTTGGGCAGGAAGAGCTGCTGCCCCAGGGTTGTGAGGGGTGGCTGATTATATACTTGGGGGTTGGGAGTAAGGAAAAAGGATTTTCAAAAGGATTTTCCTATGCTAAAGAGGACCTACAAGATATTGGGGATTTGCCACTGTCAAGTTAAGGTTGTTTTTCCCTCTAGCAAAGCATTAACATTAAGAGTGTTGGGAGGGGTGCCTGGGTGGCTCATTTGTTAAGCATCTGCTTTCGGCTCAGGTCATGATCCCGGGGTCCTGGGATCGAGCCCCGCATTGGGCTCCCTGTTTGGCGGGAAGCCTGCTTCTCCCTCTCCCACTCCCCCTACTTGTGTTCAGTCTCTCGCTGTGTCTGTCTGTCAAATAAATAAATAAAATCTTAAAAAAAAAAGTGTTGGGAGTTTCCTTCTGGAAGTTAGGTTATTGATAAGAATGTTTTTTTCGGGGGGCGCCTGGGTGGCTCAGTTGGTTAAGCAACTGCCTTCGGCTCAGGTCATGATCCTGGAGTCCCGGGATCGAGTCCCGCATCGGGCTCCCTGCTCGGCGGGGGGTCTGCTTCTCCCTCTGACCCTCTTCCCTCTCGTGCTCTGTCTCTCATTCTCTCTCTCAAATAAATAAATAAAATCTTTAAAAAAAAAAAAAAAAGAATGTTTTTTTTGGCCGCCTGGGTGGCTCAGATTGTTAAGCGTCTGCCTTCAGCTCAGGTCATGATCCCAGGGTCCTGGGATCGAGTCCCGCATCGGGCTCTCTGCTCCTTGGGAGCCTGCTTCTCCCTCTGCCTCTCTCTCTCTGTCTCTCATGAATAAATAAATAAAATCTTTAAAAAAAAAAAAAAAAAGAATGTTTTTTTCTTGTAAATCACTGAGACATTTGTAAACTGAGGGAGAGTCCTGACCCCCAGGAGTGTAATCTCTGTAAATTAACCATTTGTCTTTTCTTCCCTTAGCTTTAGGGCAGCGGGAAGTGCCTGAGGAATGTCACATATGTCCCACCTGGGGGTGGGGCCTTGTGGGGTGTCAGCTTGTGCTTTGTCCTCAGCTTGCCTTCTGCTCCCTCATCAATATTGTTCAAGTATTCAGCAGTATGTCTGTCACATAGCAAGTTCTCTATCAATGTCATATGCTGTTTTGGGATGGCATAGTTGACTCAGCCTCTTCAGACTTCAGAGGTGGGCTGGGGAATAATTATACCCCTATGGGGTAAGCCCTCCATTTCAGTGGGTTTCCTGTTCTTAAGTTGGGAGAGAAGCTTAATGCAGGAGGGGAGCAGATATGTTCATTCTTGAGGTCTGCATTTGGGTAAGGGTGGACCCAAGTTCTGGGGTGTGCCTAGGAGTGCAGTGGAGCCTGAAGCCAAAGCTACAAAACTTTTTTTTCCCCCCCAGATCAGTGTTTTGTTTTTAAAGATTTTGACTTAAGTAATCTCTATACCCAACATGGGGCTTGAACTCACAACCCCAAAATCAAATGTTGCTTGCTCTACCCACTGAGCCAGCCAGGCACCCCTCCAGATTAGTGTTTTGTTTTTTGGGTTTTTTTTTTTAAGATATTTATTTATTAATTTGAGAGAGAGAGAGAAAAAGCAGGAGTGGGGGAGGGGCAGAGGGAGTTGGAGAAGCAGACCCCCCGCCGAGCAGGGAGCCTGATGCGGAACTGGATCCCAGGACTCTGGGATCATGACCTGAGCTGATGGCAGACACTTAACAGACTGAGCCAGCCAGGCGCCCCCAGATCAGTGTTTTTAAATTACATTCCTCAGCATATAAACAACCCACAATCTCTAGTCTGGAATGCAGCCTTCATGGAAGATAAACCCCTTAGGTTAACACTTGTGACAAGGGATTGAGAAGAGAGAAAGAGGGAGAGGGAGACGGCGCCTCTATAGCAAACACAGGTGTTATTGTGGCAACAGAACCCTGCAGAGGGCATCACCAGCTAAGGCTGGAGCCCTCTTACAGCTTACAGGCTGTGGGCTAGTTCCAGATTCGGGTTGAGGAGGTGAGTACTGCTGTTTTAGGGTGGGGAAAATTTTTGGGGCTAGACCTTGCTAGGGTTGCTAAGGAGGAGCCCCTTGTTGTTAGACTGCTCTTTTGTCAAAGGGGATGTTCACTGTAGTGGGGTTTTTTTTTGTTTGTTTTTGCAACAGTCAAGGCACGTATCCATTTCCGAGAAATGAGATTTCAGTCTGGGCTCACAGCATACTCAGGCAAGTGGCCTAAGGATGAGAAACTATTTGGTGGTGTGCCCCGCCCCTGCGAGGCAAGCAGGAACGCTGGGCTCCCACCAGCCACTCTGCTCCTTCTATGTTGGACGTGCAGCCCTTTGCCTCCGCTCCCATTGGTGGCCCCTCCCAGCTGGGGTTGTAAAGCCCCATACTCAGGGCCTGCGTGCCGGTGGCTCTGACCTGCCTTCTGCGCCCTGGTCCTTCAGGCACAATGGGACCTGGCTTCCCACCACTGCTGCTCCTGCTGCCCCCGATGGTGCTGTTGCTGTCCTTCCCCCTCCTACTGCACTACTTGCAGCGAAGACGCCCTGCTGGCATCATGAAGGACCTAGGGGACAAGCTCAAGGTGAGTTGTGAATTGGTGGCCCCGGGGAGGTGAAGAGCAAGGCACAAGGGCCTAACCTTAACCTCAGAGGGCATCACAGCCTTCGCCCCCTCACTCCACTGGGTTTCCTCCCTCTCTGCCTCCCCTCCCCTTTGTTTCCTCCACTTTTGTCCCTGCTTTTCCCTTTCTCCTTCCTCTCCCCTTCCCAATTTTACTTCACCTCCTTCCCACTGCAGTTCTAATCCCTGACACTCCCCAGTTCCTCAGGCTTTCTTGCTGACCCTAAATTTGAGTTGAAAAGGAGCAAAGAAAGTTTTGTGGGTGGTGAAGGCAATGTGGGCTGCCTTTCGGGAAGGATTGGGAAGATGGTCATAGGGCCATATGAGTGGGGCTGGAGGAGCTACAGGGTAGGACCCGACTTTGCCCGGGCAGCACAGTCCATCCCTGGGAGGAGGGGGGATCCTGTCAGTACTCGCAGGTGTGAACCAAGCACCCAGAAATCCCCCGATTTCAGCTACCTCATCGGGCCTGGGAACTGGCCATTGTCCAGGATGCCAGTGGCCCAGAGGGTGTGCACCCTCCTGACCTGTGGGAAGGCAGGGCCCAGACAGCCTCATTATGTCTGTTTCACTTTCCAGTTCTAGACTATTTCCAGAATGTAAGCTTCAACATGGGTATGTTTTTCAACGCCCAAATGGTTATTGGTGAATATGGGGTTTTCAGAGATGGGCAAAGTGCCATCCAGACTGAAGAGAGCCAACAGAGCTCTCTGAGGACAGACGATGAAGGTAAGTGGGGTCTGAGTTGTCACCTTGGTGGCCTTTACCTGACCTTGAGGGAGGTAGCTCTCAGGAGCCCTGGGGTCAATAGCAGAGAGATTGGGAAGGGTTCTTTTTTTCCTTTAAAAGTTACAAAAGGAGTCATGGCCAGAATGCATCATGGATTTCTCCGTGGGTGGTGGTTTTAACTAAATTTCTATTATCAGCTTCCTGGAATTATAATCTGGAATTTCCTTACAGGGCTTGGCATTTGGCTCTTCCTTGCATATTGCACCCTTAAGCCCTGGGAAAGCTATCCCAGATTAGGGTTCTAGCACTGTTTGCAAAATTAATGCTTCCATTGTTTGAGCCAAGGGCTGAAATCAATGTAGCAGTATTTAAATGTCATCTAAGCATATATATGATAGTGAAAAAAGGGCTGTAAAATCCTTTGGGAAAAACAAAATATTGCACAAGCTTCCTGGATCTGGTGCTGGACTGCCACTGGCCCTTGACTGGACCAACAGAGTTATCAGAGGGAAAAGGGCTTGTTGAGGGGCACCTGGGTCTTTGAGGAGTCCCCATGCAGACCCAGGGATGGGAGGGACTGGGATGAAAATTGCAATGGAGTTTGTTTGTGGTAGTGCTTGTGAGAACTTGAGGCCTTGGGGGCAAGGTGAGGGGTTGGGGGAAGATGGCCCACTAGGGGCCCCCCTCTGCCATTGCAGGTGGCTGATGTCCCTTCTTACCTGGCAACCTGACTCCTCAGGACCATGAACTGTTTCTTCCCATTGGCTGAATCACTCATTCTTTCAACAAATATATATCATCTATCTCGAATGCGGGAAACACTTGATCTTGGAGGCCACAAATCAGAGATCCTCTTTTCTTGTCTTTCTCTCCAGATGACAGTCTCCTGTATGGATACCAGGACCGTGGGGACATCTCCGTGCCCTTCTTGAGATCAAGGGCTCAAACTGGTTTTGAATCCCACCATGACACTGTAAACGATTGTAGAGAGTTGGCCCTTCTTTGACCTGCTCAGTTACTCATTTAGCCCTTTTCTGTGCTCCTGTAGCCTCAAAGGATGGGGTCCCCCTGCTCCAGCACTGTTCAAGCCCTGAAGCCTGCTCCTCCTCAGCTCTGGATATTGACATTTGCACAGCTTCACCCACCAGATCAAGGCTTTCTGCTTCCCATCGCCCTTGCTGCTCTTTGCCTCTGATTCCTGTCCCCTCCATTTCTCTCTCTGTACCTCCAACCCTCCCTTACCCTTTTCCATATCTCTGTGAATTGCTTTCCTTCCCTTTGAAGTCCCAGACCCCTACCCCTTCTCCTTAGTTCAGGAAAACATAAATATATCATTTTGCCTAACTGTCCTTGGAATCTCATGTTTATGTGAATTCCCCATATGTTCATCAGTAAATTTGATTTTTTTCCCCCTGTTAATCTGACTCCTGTCAATTTAATTCTTAGACCACCTATAAGAATCTAGAAGGGTATATAAAATTTTTTCCTCCCCAACAGTGTATTTGGGAGAATGGGCTCTGTAATGTGAAATATTTATGATTAGCAAAATGAGTGGAGAGTTCTTCAAAGAATGACAAGAGCAGCTACATGACCTATGTGTGTCACTGGCAGGAAGCACAGGGGGCCGAGGTGGGGACAGGATGGGGGATGACCTAGAGATTGCAAATGACACTGGTAGATGGCAAGCTTTTCCTCCACTTCCCACACAGACTTCCAGTATCTCCCAAAGGCCGCCCAGCACTGGTCCCAGGAGCTCCCCCCAGGCCAGGGGGCTCTGCCCCGCCCAGGGGTGTCCGCGCAGCCCCTCTGCTCTCACTTGAAGATGGGAGACAAGCAGGGGATCTGCCAGCTGGCTGGTATTGCTTTAGGAAGCCCCCCTAAAACTTCTTTTCCTTTTGTGCAAAATTCACCTTAAGGACAAAAACCATTTTGTGGCAGGATTCCTAGCTGACATACCAAACTCCTGTTGTCCTCCCTCTCTCCCCTTCTCAAAATAGCTCCCACTTTCTTCTAGGAAGTTTCCAGTCCATTTTATGGCTGCCCTCAGGGCGAGTTTTTGGCAGGCACAAACAGAAGATGTTTGAGAACATCCTCCCCCACTTGCTGGTTTATTTTGAAGCCTGAAGTCCTTGGCAGGATTTCCTAGATGGTGAGAGGAGGAGAGGAGAGGAGGGAATGCCTTGGGGGCTGTGGGAGTATGGGATCATTTCTTTCCACCCTGATTCTGACAGCGCCCGAATGAGTGGGTGACCTCACAGGGACACAGTCTAAACAGAGAGGTGGCCCCTCTTCTCCATGGATTTCAGACTTGGCAGGAACCAGTAAGGCCCCAAGCATGAAGCCAAAACAGGGACCAGGAGCTCCAGCAAAGTCAAATATTTCTGCTCTAAGTTCAGGCAAACATTCATGATGTGAATGTTTCAAACTTCCACTGATGTGTGTCTTTTTTAGAAACTCCTCCTGATGGTAGTGAGAGGAGGGGAGAACCTGAAATAGCAGAGATGGTTGTTTTAGCATCCGGGGGGGCGGGTAGTGGGGTGTCAGATTATGTATGATTTTAAGAGAATGAGAAATGAGGTATTTCTTGGACCCCAGATTATAGTACCAATAAATCCATACCTACTCCACCTATACTTTTTGCCCAAGAAAACTTTCAGAGAGCCCTCCAAATCATGTATAAGTAAATTATATTCAGTTCAGATGAGCTTGAGCCCCCTCCTGGTTTCTTAGGTCTTTGTCACAACTCCACTGAATGTTGGACCAATGTGCCATGCTATCCCTGGTCCTATATTTTGCCAAACAAGGCTGTGTAATGGGTCTGTGGGAAGGATGGGGACAGGCTAGGAACTTTCTCATGACCTGTACAACTCAAATTTTATACCTAAGGAAGGAAGGAGGTGTCATAAGTGCTCATTTTCTAGCTGATCCATCTGATGCCTCAGATACTAGGGGCAGCCGGGGTTAACACCTGTCTCTTGGTCAGAGCGTGTCTGCCGGCCTTGCTGCCCCTATACTCTGAGACATGCCAAGACTGGACTCACTTGTAGTGCAGGCTGCTGGGGGGCAGGTCTTCTTCCCAGACGGTCTACCAAAGGAAATACCATGCAAACTAGCTGCTTCCAGACGCCCCCACTCTCTGGGATGTTGAGCCAACTGGAGCCCAGAGGAGGAGGGGCCAGCAAGAAAGTGCTCATAGCTCTGAGTGTTTCCTAAGGATCGAAGCACAGGTAGATAGTGATGTTGGTCAGAGTGTTCACCTGCTCATGGAGGCAGCAGGATGCCCAGCTTCTCCTTATCTCCTCTTCTACCCTATCTCTCCCAGATGTGGAAAGGTCAGAGGGCAGAGGTTGGGGGGTTGGTCCTTGTGGTCTTGGTCTCTATGTTCCTAGTCCTGCTAGTTGGCACTCATGCTGATCTGGGAGGGATCTGAGCATAAATGTCTTATTCCTGATCCTGAGGGAGACAGAGAAGATTGAGAAGGGCAGAGGGTGTTGTAACTTGTGGAGCACAAGATGCCTCGCTGACCAGAGACTCTGCCTCAGGGGAGAGCCTGAACCTCTCCCACCCAGAGGGAGAGAAGGAGGGAGGTAGGGAGGTAGTGCAGACAGAGAAAAATGGGGGAAGGAGGGGAGAAAAGTGAGCCCAGGGTTTAACTCATATCAGTGGCAGGTGAGGAGGACAGGCTGAGGGAAGGAAAGGGTGTCATGAATTTGGGAGATGTACCTGCTCAGGGGAGGCCTGTTTCCCTGCTTCCCAGTGAGCCAGGGGAGAGATTGTGCTGTCCCAACTGAGGGGGTGGGCTGTGCACATGCTCCCCCCACCTTCAAACCCAGAGCCTTGGTCCCCTAGCTCTCTTCCCACCCGGAGAAAAGTGATCTGACTGACACTCCGGAGCAGGGGTCACAAAGCAGAGAGCAGCCTCAAAGGTTCTCTTCCTGGCTGCACCTGAGCCAGAGAAGAGGTCATTAGATTTGAAGAGCCCCCGTGGTTGTCAAAGATGCTGCACACACACGCCCAGCTGGACTCCTCCCCTCAGATCGTGGACTCGGAAAGGCTTCTGTGTTTGCTCTGCCAGTGGGGACGTGCGGACTCAGAGCATCAAGCACCGTCCTGAGTCACACTGCTTTACAGAGGCAAAATTATGACTCAATTTAGTTAAGACTCAGACTTTATCTGTTCCTATGGCCCTGGCCTGGCCCTCTAGACCCACCAAGGACTGTGCCATGCCCTCCCTCCCGCCGCATCCCCAGCATCCAGCTAGAAATGTCCAATAGTGCCCGTAGCCTTGAAGTTCTGGGTCATGTGGTTTTTTTTCGTGTGTGTGTGCGTGTATTTTAAGATTTAAATATTTCTTTGAGGTGGGGGTGGGGCAGAGGGAGAGGAAGAGAGAGTCCCAAGCAGAACGTCGGAGCCCAACACAGGACTTGATCCCGCGACCCTTAGATCCCGACCTGAGCCAAAACCGAGAGTCAGACCTTCAACCAACTGTGACACCCACGGGCCCCTGGGTCACAGTTTTTAAACAAGAAAGGGCATGCACTAGTTAAAGAGTTCTGGGCAAAAAGCAATGTGAACCACCCACATGTCCTCAGCCTCAGCTGGTACTAGTGATTTAATTATGTTGTCCCTGGCCACTGTCCCCAAACTGTACAGCAGATGGGCCTTTGGGGATATCCCCCTCCTGGGATATTTATATCTATATCCCCTCTAGCTGTCCAGACACTGTGTTTGCTGACACTCCAGCTCCGCTCCAGGACCCCCACCTCCACCACCACCTTGGCCCCTCTGTTCTCCCCTTTGCAGGGACTTCGGCCCCTACCGGGCCTTCGAGATCGAGGCTCCCTGCTTCCTTGTCCCCAGGGACAGCTGTCCTCAAACTGCCCTCACCTCCAGCTGGGGCCAAGGTAAGTGTCTGGGCATGGGGCTCACATGCTTATTTCTCCTAAAAACTTTGGTATGAATGCTTCCGGCCACACTTCGTCTGTGAAGGAAAGGTCATGGTTTTCTTCTGGGTTTCTCTTCCTGTTTGTTGAAGCTTGTGGTCTTACACAGTTCTGAGAAAATGCAACCATGTGATTTCACAGAACACTGAAAATTATAAGAAATCACACGATGGTGAGTTTGGAAGGTTCAGGAGGCAAGCAGCTGAAAAGGGAGACACCTGTGACCTCGTCGATCCCACTTCATTTATTTACTCATTGCAGCAGCAGGATGGAAACAAGCTGAGCTGTCCCTTGTATCAAATCCTTGGAAGTGCCAACACGGGGTCCCCAACACTGCCTGGGTTCCCGGGGACTCGCCGACACCTGCCCCTCACAGCCCGGGCTCCCATGTGGTGACGGTATGGGGAACAGCTTTACCAAAGCAAAGGGCCACCGATTCCAAGTCTTGAGCTGAGCAACACTAAACAAACAACACATAAATAAGTAAATAGCAATGGAGAGAA